CACAGTTGTCAAACGGGGACCCTCTGTCAATCGGGGACCTTATTGTCCCCTATTGTTCAGGTTCCCCAATTGAATGCAGAAACAAACTCACACCCACACCCACACATACCTGTTTTACATTCAAAGTGTGGACAGTCCTTAGTTCTCCTGTGGCTAAGGAAACTTGAGGAAAATGCTCCTTTTCCTCCAACTAGGATAATTCCTTCGAGCTGGGTTTTTGATGATGATTTCCTGGACTGTTCCTCTTCATTTTGCCACGGATAACCTTGACCCCAAAAATGCCTCTGAAACTGTTTTTCTGAGAGGGGAAAACATTGTGTGGACGTGTGCGAGTCCACACAACGCCGTCATACGCTACATTATGTGGACTTCTTTTGTGCAGGGGTCCATACTATGTATGCCACGCGTGCACACACTTCTTTTTCCAAAACCTTACGGAAAATGTATACCTTGCAAAAGCAGTTGTTAGAAAACCTGGCTAAAGTGACCAGAAATTGTCTCAGAGCACACCACAGAGCATAGATGTTCTCCGCACCTCAGACATAGTAAAATTCACGTTCAAAATACAGGTTGGTGATACGCTGATCGCATCAAGCCAACACACACACAACTTGGGCTTTGTGTTTCACCAGTAGGCCTACATGAATATGGAAATGCATATGATTTCCAACATTTGCCAAACATCATAGATGTACCTATGGCGAATTGCCACAATTCGGTGAATAAGTTATACTACCCAGGCACGAGAACAGGTTATTCATTAGCCCACCACTTCCAGACTTGATTTCTGTAATAGTTTTCTCTGTGGTCTCCCTCAAAACACCCTTAATTGGCACACTGCTGCACGTTTACTGACTGGTTAAAAGAAATCTGATTCAGCTAATATCACTCACTCGTATTCTTCATCAACTTTACTGGTTGCCGGTCAAATACAGAATACAACACAAGTCCTCATTATATTTAAACGTTGTTCTGCCCTATCTTACATACAAAACTTACTACAGCTTCGTACTCTCAGACCAGGCTTGGGATCATCTTGCAGTCTCCTTTCAGTCCCCTCCTCCATCTAGCCTTGTCAGTTATTGTGACACGTACACCTTTTTCTCATGTTGCTACTCGGCTCTGGAACCGTCAACCACTTGAAATCAGAGGAACGGACAACATAATAACTTTCACACAGAAACTCAAGACGCATCTCTTCACACAGGCTTTCTCCACCAACTGAGGTTGTTTGTTTTCTTTTAAAATCCTGACCGGCGACTTTGAATGGTTTCAGATAAAGTGCGCCTTACAAATGTTGTGTTATTATTATTATTTTACTTCACAATTCTCCGGGGGGCCCTTGAGCCCAGACCCCACGCCACTCACAGCTTCGCGCTTGGCGCCCGTATTTGCTCTGGTCGGGGCTATGTCCCCCCCCCCACGTTTCAAAACAGATTGACGCCCTTTCCCCCATCCTCTGTCTCTTACCCCGCCCCCACTGCGGTCGCACGTCGAGTTTCTCCGATCCGACTCGAATAACCTGCTAGAACGGTTTGGTTAAACTAGCATACCAGTCCATAAGTATCTGATCCCCCGCACGCATTTAATTCACATCGTATTCTTTATTCAATATTTTTGTTCATGAAGTGTTAAACTCACATATTGTAAGATTTTAATATCCTTCACACATTGATCAGAACTTTTACAAAATTTTATACCGCGGTAATACAAGTCAGCAAAATCTGTGTTACCTTGGTAGCAAGTTTAATTTTCGGCAGTTCCCACAATGCAAAGTTCCGTGACACACTGAATCGCTGTGGCCCGCTGGTTTCCTCTCAATTCCTTTTAGGTAAAAAGACTACAGAGTACCAGTGAGACACATGATTCGCCATACACAGATATATACAGTCAGGGTGTTTTCAATGTCGGTGAGTTGGAAGAAGAATGTAATGAACATAAGCGGGTGAAGTGTGAGTGTTTGTGCCCAGTTTTTGAGCCTCTTCAAGTGTGTTTTCGGACGAGAATAGCGGTGAAATTAAGAGGGTGAGTGATGGCTTCCCCTCTGCTTATCAGGTCGGCCGTTGGGTGAGTACAGGGTGAATACTTCGCTTGGGAAATTACTGCCGGCAGGCCGGGACTGAGTAGGCCTAGGGCCTAGGCTACACGGTTTTGTTGGGACTGGGAAGTGGTGTGTCGGCTTCTAGTGCGCTCACGTAGTGGATGTACATGTACATGTACAGTAGGCCTACTGTGCGTGTGGTAACGCGTACATCATACCAACCGTATTGTACAGTCTACAGTGCCTACTTCAGCCTGGCCCGTGTACTTCGATTGTGCTTGGTGTACTGTGTATGTTTTTACACAACAGCTAGGCCTACCACTTTGAGACCATGGAAAAAACAGACAAACATCCCTCGAACCCAAGTGTAGGCATGAGGAAGGAAGTGGGCCAAGTGGTCAACTCTGCAGGCACAGCAGCAGTGAATAAATTTGACCCGGACGAGGACCCAGAATTGCAATATTTAGACCAGGACAAGATGAACAATTCCAAAAAGAAGAGTTTCTTCCAGATCACGAGCGTGACAGAAAACGTCAACGATGAGAACGATAGCATGGATGAGCTTGACGAAAGCCGGGCGGATGACCTGTCCACGACGGATCTCTCAAAACTCAGTTTACAGACGGACATGGAGCAGTCGGAGTCCGACGATTCGCCAAACCCACCCGGGCCTGGAACTGTTATACATCCAAATGCTGCAATGAACCCCAATGTGGACACCAACGGCAACGGCCCCTCCCGATTCAAGTTGGTTAAGGTCGCTCGCATCGAGCCCATCAAGCGGGGCCGCTGGACCTGTAAGGACTTCCCCACCGAGCCGCAGTCGTGCCCTGAGAGTGCGGCGGCCAAGACGGAACAGATCCGCGACAATGTGTCGGGCAGCTCCAGCGCTGCCAGCTCGGTGCATTACGTGCCCGGGGAGAACCCGCCCACAGAGAACCCCCTAGGGGACGCAAACCCGGCACCCCAGCAACTACCCCCACCGTCCATAGACAACGCAACGAAGGAAGCGTCTGCTGCCAACGATAAGGACTCCTCCTCTGTGTTGGCTGCTCACAGGCCGAGCAGTAAAAGTGACTCGAGTAAAGAGAGCTTGAGCAAGAAGGAATCTAGTGCAGGGGACCTGCTGTCATTGGATTCCTTGAATGTTGAAATGCTCGCTGACAACCAGTCGGAAAACGATGAAAGGTAAGTCAGGACTCGCCAAAGTAGCAGTCATTACTTGTCGCTCCGTGTTTACATTCGTTTTGTGCACAGTTGCAATGTAACTTCATTTCAAAATGTGTATGTATGTTACGCCCCAACTATAGCATAAGTCCCAACTATAGTTGGGACAGTCCCAACTATAGTGCTGCAGTTGGGCAGGCCCAACTATTGTTGACCAATGTCTGTGGAAAATGTGTCAACATTATCCAAGTCAATGTGTCTCACACTTGACACAATTCATCTAAAATGTGGCACTTTATCTGTTCATCTCGCCCTATGACCAATGACATGACATTTGTTAACAATATGACTTCGGCACATGCTGGGCACGTCATGCACACAGGACCTCTCTGCGGTAGTTGGGCCGGCCCAACTGTAGCACTCTAGTTGGGACGGGCCCATTTATAGTTGGGACTGATGCTATAGTTGGGGCGTAACATGTACTTGTAAGTGGAGCCAAGAAAACAGCACAGGTGTGAAAGGCACAAGTAACGGAGTGCTTACATGAAGATTGTACTTTCCTTGTGCCTGATTGGTACGTAGATACAGTTGGTCGACTCTACACTATCACCTATTGGTGACTTGATCGACATATACCATATTCTCAGTCAGGTCACCAGCCAGTCAGAATATTGATAGGGCGCCTCTGCTGAGTGGTCACAAGCTATTGGTGAGAGGCGTCTTGCATAATGAATCACCGAATCTGCATTAGCAACGGCATCACCGACTACCGTTTAGCACATATGCAGTGCAGGTAGCACCTCAGTGTGATTCGCCAGTGCACGCATCAGCTGGTGGTGTTCATCCATGCTGTTATGCTGCCCTCGTTGGGCAGTCTATTGGAGGTCTGAGTCGATCCCCAGACTAAATACGAGTATGGTTCAGGCCTTGACATTAAACAGTCGTCTGATTGCCCGGGAAAAGTAAAAATGAAGGACAAATTGCTCGATGGACAGGTACTTTTTTCTTGAAATAAAAGTGGCTGTTTTTCGTGGCCAAGAATAACTGTCCTTTAAATTTACCTTTGATTTGCTTTTCTTTCTTCTTCACAAAAGCTTATAAAAAGTGGTAAAAAGTATACAGCTTTGTGGTGTTTTACAATGATTCTTTTCATCGTTTTGTACTTGTACATGCTGTAGACCATTTTACCTATGGCTGGGACTTCAACGTTGGTGAATTTTGCCTGGTACTTGTGTATGTACTTTGTGCATAAATAACACCGGGCAAAATTGTCGAGTGGTTAAGAAATAGCCGTTGCCCAAACTTGTATGAATGATGCATGAGTGTCCTGCACACTCTGTGCATACTCGCAATAGTTGGGGGTGATGAATATTCATGTCATATTGTGGCCAAGAAGGAACTCACTGTCCTGGGAAGCAATGAGCAACCAAACCGGGGTTTGGGCAAGTAAAATCTAACCTTGGGCAAGTAACTTATCAGTGCTACTTGCCCGATGGACACGTAGTAAAAAAAAAAAAATTGATATTGAGGCCTGGCATGGTTAGATCTGAAGACCCTAGTAGTCCCGAATCCTCTGATTTCAATATGATTTTACATAACAACCTAGGGGGTTGGGGTTAACCATTTGTTTTTCATTGTGTGCCGATTCACCTTGAACATCCCCCCCCCCAAAAAAGGGGTTGTCCAAGTTTGCCGATGTTCAACGCTGTCACAGACTCAACGTGCGTAAAATAATGAGGTGTCCAAAATGGCCTACAGGGTCCAAAAGACATGGAAGACACAGCCAGACACTTCTCTGGCTAATGCATTGTTGCTATTTTTGTAAAAGCTCACTGAGTGTCAGTTATTATGGAATAGTTATGGAATATTTGATCCGGAACATGGGTGTTCAGAGTGTGCAGTGAACTACTGGGATCAAAGTGGCCTACATGTACACATACATGTGCATTGTGCATTTACCGTATTATACAAGTTCAACCCATCTATTTCAAGATAAAAGTTTACACCCCACAAGCTTTGTACATCATTACTGTTTGCTCCAAGCAGAACAAAAGAGGGCATATTTTTTTGGTACTCACTGCATAGGCGCGCCACGAAGCGCGCAAGTACATGCGTGTTTGACGCAGAGCACGCTGAGTACGCATAACTAACTTATTCTGGCATCTATGGTCTTTTCGTACACGCTGAACGCGTGCAAGTACCCGTTTCTAACCACATGTCTTTCTTTCGTCGATTGGGGGTGCCCCGGGGCGGATACCTCGTACATATTCATGATAGATCGCCGAACTCTCATTGCACACGCATTTGTTCACGCAAGGAGTAAATGTGCATGCATTTTTAACTGTCACCTGGCTTACCCGGGCGACGGTTAAAAACGCTTCGCGATAGCAGAAAATCCAGGAACTGTCGCCACTGTACTGTGCACTCATGGTGGCGCCAAGCTTTGCAACGGTGTGCAGCTCACGAAAAGATGGTGGCACACCGTTTTTATTTTCAGAGGTTATTAAATAATATATGTGTGAGATACATAGTAAAACAAATATAACATGGGTTGTTTCGGTTGGACAGTCGACGTTTGCTTTGCCTCGGGAACTAGTTTGTCAACTCCCAATACCTCAGGGAACTGACATCGACTGTCCAACCTCAAACTGTGTCACATTTGTATACTGTGAATTTTGGACAGCTCCTGTTCCATTGTAAAAATAAACTTCTTTAGAGCATTGTTATTGGAGTTATTTTCAAGCATGTACTTTTACTATGTTGAGACTTTAAGCCGAAGTTACTTGGCTTTACTCTGAGGTGCAGAGTTTGAAAGAAAAGTTCCTGTTATAAAAATGAATTGAGACCTCAAACTGAAGCAGGTGACATACTGAAGTCCTCACATTTCTCATCATGTACACGTACATAACGTGTGCCTCGTGAGAGATTTTGGAGTAAAGTTGGCTGTTTGGCGCCTTTGTTGTTCCAGTCTGATGTGTAATCAGTTGCCCCTGAATTGCCTGTCTTTTTCAGTCTTTGTTGGACTATTTGATCATGGAAACCACAAGACTAGCACTAACAATCTTTGGAATAGGTTCAGTGGCAGTTGGACAGGTTCAAAGGTTAAAGAGGTTCGACCCTGCAATACAAGAGAGCATGCAGAAAGTTAATGGTACATATCAACTAGGCGTATCGATTACAAGTTCATGTTCATGGGCATGTACATGTTGTGTCTGCTAAATGATTCACATTTTCCATGCTCCCACGGTACATTTATGCGGTCTGCATGATTTGTCATGCAGGCTGAAAACCCTTTGCCCACTGTGCATCCGTCGTGTGCGTGTTGCGGGTGCCTGAATGTTCTTGAAGTGGAAAGAACCAAATATGTGACAATGTAGCAATCTTGAAAGGACTTCAAACTGGATGGCAGAAGTTGGCATGGCACACGAAGTCACAGATTGCCTCGGCTTGATACCAATGAAGACTAAGGCTTGTCGTTTCTCGGCTTCATTTTTCACACACATTGTGATTGAATTTCTGTAAGAACAGCAAGAGTGTAAAAGCTTTTGTTCCCAGATCCAGGATGCGAGTTGTAAACCCTGCAATTTTTGTATCGTGGTGTCGATGAATCGTGTTAGATTCAGCAGGCTTCTGGCTTTGCTGTTTAAATGAGATTTGCAGTTTTTCATGGTGGAGGTAGCAAGTGAATTAGATGGGGCTGTGCTCAATATCCAAATAATCAATCGAGTATTGAATATTCGAATATTTTGCAAATTTAAATATTCGAATACAGAATTCATGAAAAGGAAAGGAGAATTTCTTTTGTTTTAAATGAGAAAAGTTGCACTATGGAGGCTTGTTTCAAGCAGATTCAAATGAAAAGGGACAAAAATCTTACAATGATTTAAAAAGAAAATTACTCAATAAAAATTTAAAAAGGAAAAGATATTTTCAGCGGGGTAAGAAGTATTGTTCGTCTCTTAAATTTTGCTAAATAGTGGCTGGAGATACTTCCGGACTTAAGAAGCTACATGTATTATAGTGATTGTAATGTACAATTGTGTGTGTTACTGCAACTGGTTTTGTATATATGATTTGTTCATCAACAGTCTGCCGGTCGGTATGACTGAATATTCGGATATTTGATTGAATTAAATGTCGAATTTTTGAATAGTGAATGATTCGAATTGACTCAGCCCTAAAAAACAAGATACCTGTAGGTTTGCCGTTAGCACCATGAATATATCACTTTTTGAGTGTGCAGGGCTCTGAAAAGAACTGGTGGTACTCAAAGTTTTGGACAGTATGCTCTGTCCGTCAGCAGGAGTTCTGTCCAAAATTTTGAGCACCACCGGTTCTTTTCAGAACCCTGCATGCTCAAAAAAAGATACATCCATGGTGCCATCGTAAACCTACAATATATCTAGTTTGTTTGCTATTCAAGTTTGTTGGCTGTGAATTCCATGGGATTCGGGAGGGTTTTGCTCTTTTTGTAGATGGTGTTGGTTGTTTGGTTTGGTTTGGTTTATTTGGTTTGGTTTTGGTATGGTACGGCTTCACATTATTGGATTAGCAGGCTTCACTCTTTGCTGCCATTGGGTTCTGCCGGATTCAGCAGATTTCATTCTTGGGTTTTGTTTGATTCAGCAGGCTTTACACTGCCGTTCGATTTCATTGGATTCGTCCAACCTCACACTTTACCATTGTTGGGTCCGACAGACTATGCTTTGCAACATTATCAGATTCTGTTGGATTGAGGAGGTGTCATGCATTGCTGTTACTGGATTCTGTTGGATCCAGCAGGTTTCAAACATTGCTGTTGTTGGAATCTGTTGGATCCATCAGGTTTCATACATTGCTTTTGTTGGATTCTGTTGGATCCATCCGGTTTCCTGCCTTGCCGTAGCTGTATTCCGTTTACTCTGAATATTGCACATCTTCCAAAATCTACAGGATATTTTGTAGGATCCTGCTGAATCGGGGAAGGCTCAACCTCTGGACCGGTAATGTGCATAGGACTCGTTGCCACCTGAAAGTACCAG